GGCCACAGGGTCCCCACCTGCCCTAGAGGATGCCCATGATGAAGTGCCACTCTTGACGCCCAGTCCTATTGGAATATCCAATATCTTCTCTCATTAGAACTCCCTAATGTCTTTTACAGACAATGCATTTTGTTGTTCTCTTCAGGGTTTTAGATTCAGGTTTGCATGACGTAGTGTTGCTCAAATTCTAGTTGTGCTACACTCTGCTTGCTCCCCGCAAAGGATCATAGGGCAAGGTGATCACGGGGCTGCAGAAACAGGAACGGCAGAACTCTGGTCGGGTGGTGGAGGCAGTGGATGACAAGCTGTATAGATGGGATGAATCTGTCTCCTACCTCCTTGAACTTAACTTGAAAACTTCTCCCCAAAACAGAGAGGGAGAAAAGAGTGTTGAGTCAGAGGACCTGAATTCTAATCCTGACTCTAGCATTTGTTATTTGTCTAACCTGGGTCAAATCACTTTAACTCTTCTGGGTCTCAGTTCCTTATGTATCAGCTGAGACTAGTGACTTTCTAAAGGTCATGCAGATTGTAAGTAAAAGAAACAAGTCATCTGACTGCAAATCCAGAGCCCTCCTCACTATTGTCTGGTCCCACCCTCCCATGCTAGGCTAGTCTATGACTATCTGCTTCCATGTTAATAAGGAAGCAGCTAGGTGGCCCAGTAGACAGGGTATCGGGCCTGGTGTCGGGAAGACCTGAGTTCAAATCCAGCCTGAGACACTTACTAGCTGTGTTGGCCTGTCTGTCACAATTTCCTCAACTGTAAAACAAGGGTGATAACACTGCCTTCCAGGGTTGCTATGAGGTTAAAATAAGATACTATTTGCCAGGCTTAGCACAGTGCCTAGCACATTGCAGGTACTTAATAAATGTTTGCTTCCTACTTTCCTTTGGGTGAAGCTATTCAAAAGTGTGAGCCAGTGGAAAAGCCAAATTTGAAGTCTGAAGATCTGGATTTGAATCCTAGTTCTGATACTTATTACCTTTGTGATATTGGAAAATTCATTTTTCTAGTTCAGAGAAATTTGGGAAGATTTACAAGAGCTATTTTAGAGCAAAGTAGAAAGAACCAGGAAAATAACTGACATGATGATTATAATTATGTAAAGGAAAACAACATTGAAAGAATTGAGAATCCTGATAGTGGAGTGCTCTACCATGACTTCAGAGGATTGAAAGGAAAGCAAGGGGCAGCTAGGTGGTACAGTGCATAGAGCAGTGGCCCTGGAGTCAGGAGGACCTGAGTTAAAATACATTCTCAGACACTTAACACTAGCTGTGTGACCCTAGGCAAGTCACTTAATCCCCATTGCCTCACCAAAAGAAAAAAAAAAGAAAGGAAAGGAAACCACATCTCCTATGCTTTGACTCTTGGCAAAGAGGAGATAGACTGTAGGTATAGAATAAAACATACATTTTCAGACATGGCCAGTGTGATCATTTGCTTTTCTTGGCTGTATTCTTTTATTACAATGGAAAAGTCTAGGGAAATGGGTGTAGGATCATTAAGAACGAAAAAGAAAAGAAAAGAGGATCAATAAAGCATTTAAAAAGAAAAAAAAATTACTTCCATTCCCTGGACCTTGGTTTTCTACCTTGTAAATTAAGGAGCTTGGATGAGATCATCTCTATGTTCTCTTCTAGTATTAAATCCTATAATAATTTCCTGTTCCAATCAGTTTAATCTCTTCCTAAATTATTAATTTCCAGTCTAGAGTATTTACTTCCTCTTCCACTCCTTTCCTGGAAGAAAAGAGAGGGATGGAAAAAAATGGTAAAAATCAGCTGGATAGGGCAGGAGGTTGGGTCTTGGCTCCAGACTACCATTCTGTGACATCCTCCATGTCTGTGGGCCTCTCCTCTAGCTCTGTAAACATGATCCTGCAGCCTGGCCAGCTCCTTCTTCCATTCCCTCAGATATTGCAACATGGAACCCTTGCCAGCTAGCAGCCAGACTGGGGCTGAGAGCCACTCAGCTACCTGCAATGTTACTAATGAGAGGCATTCTGGTACTCTAGTCTGAGGAGAGATTCCCACATCTCTCTGCCTAGGGGCATCACTGCTGAATGTGTGGGGATTCCAGCTGTAGATCTATAATCATACTGCAATCCTTCTGGTGACTCAACCACAGAGGAAATCCCTGGGCCTTCCTCTTCTCCCTCCCAATGGGGACCGTCCCAAGGCAACAAATTCCCAGTGCAGGGCAACCACCTTCTCTTCAGCACTCAGCTATTTAAAAAGTAAAATGAAGCAACTGTGGGTATGCCTTGTTTGATGGAAAACCCAATATATGAAATTCAAAATACAAAGCCAATCAGTTAAAAGGGTAACACATTAAAAAAGGGATCTGTCTTACAAAAAAAATTCGACACCTTTCTCTTTAAAAGAACACTCCCCCTTAATGCATTTAAACTCTACTTGATTAAAAAAAAAACCCAACTGCATGAATACCTTTCTAGAAACACATCTGCTATGGAAAGTGAGGGGGGCCTGTGCCCTGAAAAGCGTCTTCTGCATGATATTGCTTTCATAAATTTTGATGATGTGCATTAGAGAGAGAGAGAAGCTGACATTAATTGACTAATTTAATAGAATAGGCATCTCTAGTGGGTGAGTTTTAATACCAGAAATGACATCTGAATATGAAACTAATGGATGGTATTTGACTAGAAGGTGGGGATGAAGTATATCTGTGAATATAGGGTGACTCAGGGGAAAGCTGGAAAGGAGGTTGTTGGGCACATGCCTTCATTTAACAAAAGAGGAAACTGAGGCCTAGAAAGGTTAAAAGACTTGTCCATGATTACATAATAATAATGATAGCAATAATAGCTAGGGTTTATATAGTGCTTTAAGGGTTTCAAAATACTTTATATCACTCGATCTTCACAACAACCAGTGATAGGTAGCAGAGTTTGTGATTGAAATCCAATTCTTCAGCTTTTTCTACTGTGTAGTGGAGCCTAGGGCAGCTGGGTGCTATCTACTGAGCCGAGAGTCAGGAAGACCTGAGTTCAAATCTGGCATCAGACACTGACTAGCTATGTGACCCTGGGCATGTTACTTAACCCTATTTGCCCCAGTTTGTTCATCTGTAAAATGAGCTAGAGAAGGAAATGGCAAACCACTCCAATGGTGGTTTCCAACTGAAATGACTGAACAACGTAGTGGCATTGCTATCAACTTCCCACTAGGATCATACACCAGGGGCTAAAATGGTCTGAGAAGTATAACAGTCTAACCCTGTAATAGTGTAGAAGAAGTTAAATTGGTCTATAGGGGCCATCCCAGGGACTATGGGCCCAGAGCTCCCCTGGAAATTTCTGGAGACTACAGAGACGTGGTGACTCAGTGTTTGGGCCATCTGGGGTTAACTAGCTTCCTGGCTGCATCAGGACTTGTAGTGGCCCGGCAATGAAAGGGCTTGTTACTCTGAAGTGATACAAAAAGCCCTGAGCAATCTCTTGCTCCACCCCAACCTGGCAGTGAAGTACAGGGCCGAATTGGGTAAGAGGAGACAGCTTCCAGTCCTCTCTCTTCTTGGACCTCCCAGGTGGCATCATGTAACTCTAACACCTCCTGGGAAGGGTGGAGGGTAGACTAGTCCTTGCTTCCCTCAGTATCCTATAGCTGCTCTCAGTGACCACCACAGAAGGGAGATTAACACTGAGGGACCGTGGGCCTTGACTCCTGGCTGACTTTTCCATTGTGTGTTTCCTTTCCTGAAGAGCCAAGAAAGCATCAGCCTCAAAGTGAATGAGTTCAGACTTGGTTACTATCCTATGAGTTAGTGACAAATGGAGGTCCTGGGTCCATTAAGTCATTCTGTCAATATAATGTGTGCTGTGCATCTTTTATGTTTAGCATTTTCATGCATGTGAATAAATACCTGTCCCATACCTGATTCATACTGTATGTTAAGTACCTTTGTACTACCCCCTTTTGTAAGATCATGAGCCAAAAGCTTCCTCTAAGCTTTTAATAAACTGTTGCCAGGATGCTGGAACAGATGGTTTACCAAGCTAAGTAGTGTGAGAAAAGGGAGCCTGGCATACCTTTCATTAGAGGACAGGCTCCTTCAGGATTGAACCTGCTTCAAACCATGTGCCTGGGTCGAGAGCAGAGGACCCCTTAGAGGAGAAGGGAGCCACCTTGGGCTGAACATCGGTTCCTTATTGTTAAAGAGTAACAGCCTACAGATGCAGGGGACCTCGGAGTCCAACTTCACCATTTCATAAATAAGGAAAATGAGGCCTAGAGAGAGTTAATGACTTGTCCAAGATCATACAGCTAATAATTGGCAGAGCTGGAATTTGAACCCAGAATCCTCTGATTCCAAATGCAGCGTTCTTTCTACTGTATCACATTGTCTCCCAAACTGAGTTTTTTTATTCATTTCTCCATCCCTGATAATTCATTACCTACCCCCTGCTGCGCCTCACCCTATCTGTGAGCTTTGAAAAGGACAACTTTGATTAAAGCCTGAATTAAGACAAAGTATTATATCATGTTTAGGGCCCATATCCTGACCTTTTCCATCCTTCCCCTCTCTTAACACCCTCACCCCCTCCACCCCTACAAACCACCCTCTCTATTCAGATTCCTTCTGTTCCTCAATCTGGGGTGGGGGGAGGCTAAGAGAGAAGAAGGCTTATATTTCAATGCTCTGGGATCACTTTGTGAAAATTCATCCTGTTTACGAAAGGAAAATGCTCCCTCTTGTGTCTTTGAAGAGAAGAGAGCCAAACTCTGTGCTCCATGCTCTCTTCAGCTTGGGCAGAGAGTGACAACTTGAGGGAACAGAATGCTTCACACCTGCTTTCCTCCTTTGGCCGACCAGCTGTAGTCTATATCCTTTCCTGACTGTGGAAAATTTTTATTTCAACTGCACATAGCCAGAATGAAATCTAGTTGTCTGTTCACCTCTCTGCCCTCTTTTTCTGTGCTGTGTTAAAGATGGAAAGGAGGTCATCTGACTCAACCCCTTCATTTTACAGATAAAGAAACTGACCTGAGGTGAAGGAGGATAATGTCAGGACATTCCGCATTACCCTCTAAATAGAGATGGGGAGAAAATACGAAGAATTCTGGTAAGTAAAGTGATTTGCCCAAGGTCGTATAGCTAGCAGGTAGTGGAGCTAGGCCTAGAATTCATGTCTCTCGACTCCTTCCCCCAAAAAACTTCCAGATTATCTCTAAATTTGTAAGCTGGCTCAGCGGTATGCCTCTGGGACAAGAAGCTTTATCTTTTTTCAGCCTCAGTTTCCTCACTTGTAAAATGAGATCATTGGATTAAATGATCTGTAATGTTCCTTCAAGCCCTATGCTAAGGTCCCCTCCCACCTCTAATATCCTGTGTCCTGAAGTCCATTGTGTCTCTGACATTCTATCTTTTAAGATCCCTTGAGGCTTTGGCATTCTTTGTTCTAAGGCCCCATCCAACTCTGACACTGTATTCAAAGGTTCTTTCCAGCTTTCACATCCTTTCCATCTCTAAGTAAGAACCTACCATCCTGTGGTCCTGTTCAGCTTTAAAAAGCTGCATTTGTAAGATCTTGAAAGACAGGTCACCTCTTGGTACCCTGGCATTCAATTCCCCAATGCTGAGCTCCTGATCATTGCCCTTCTATTGGCCTCTGCTGAATGATAGCTTCTTCCAAGCACAAACTTTTCCTTGGCTTCTTTAACCATTTGTTGTTTCTCTTATCCATCAAATTTTAATGCCTCAGGTTCCTATTATTTTGCCTTTCTTTCTCTTCCTTTCTCTGCTCTGGCAATTGAAGGTGTCGTACTGTACATAATGAAGGTATCTGTGGTTCTCTCCAATGAACAGCATTTCTCTACCTAATACAATTAAGTTTTGTAGACCTTTATTTTTCTTCTTTGGATATGATGTCACACAATCTTCTTTGAGTTCATGCACTATCCTAACCAAGAATAACATGGATTAGAATATTCATTTTTGTGTTAGTGGAAGATGGAATTCATTCTCACATCTTCCTTGGCCCTGGAATTTAATTCTTCTATCCCAGTCTAAGAACCCAAAAGAAGCCAGATGGCCTTGTCTAAGAACTGAAGACCATCCAACAGACCCAGCAGTGATGACATCCTGCTTCCTGCAGTTCAGTTACAGGTATTTGAGATGAAGGAAAACAGCCCCACCACAGCTCTATTGGCCTCCAAAGAGATGTGGGGAGAAGTGGGAAGGACGGTGGGGGACTGAGAAGGGAAATTGCCCAGGCATATAAATAATGGTTTCTCATGGAACAGGGGGACTGTTAGAGTGGCTGTGGTATGATGGGAAGGCGAAGAGCTGTGAGTTGGAATTTTGATTCTGCTGCTTTGTAGAGGAAATAGACTGTCTCATATTCCTCATCTCTAAAATGGCCATGATAAGAAACCTTCTCTTCAACCTCATGGTGTTATGATGCACTCAAATAAGATAACTGTGGGTGTGCTTTGTAAACTGTAAGGTGGCATTATGACCACCATTGTTACATTTATATAATAGTGATTGATGAGAAATCAACAGTTTTATTTTTATTACTGGCGCCTTGAAACTTTAGAAATATGTTTGTAGAATATGTATGCATAACAGAAAGAGTGTTGGCCTAGGAACTGGGAGACTTGGCTTCTCATCCCAGCTCTGCCCCTATTGGCTGAGTAGTATTAGGCACCTATATTCCCCTTTCTAGGACTCAATTTCTTTCTTTGTAAATAAGGGAATGCAACTGGCAGCTTACCACTCCCAGTTCAAAACATCTATGAACTCTATGCACCATCTTTAAAATTATTTTTGATGCGTTTTAGAAACAACTCTATAATTTCCTCATATCTTCTAAATAAAATTTTTCGTAGTAACACAGAACTGCAGTTAAGCAAAACGAATTAATAGATTGATAATGTGATATGACCAATAGCTTCCTAATGCAGTTTCCTCGACTTCCCCAACACAGCTTCCTTCCCACTCTCTCCTCCCCAGCACACTGATTGGCCCTAGCTTCCTTCATAAGGCTGCCTGGCTTAGTCCCAGCCTGGATTGTCAGTGCCTCTCACATTTGTTGGGTTCCTGAAATATGTGAGTCACTGCCCAAATGACTGACTGACCAGACATATTTCAAGATGAAGACAAAGGGTGGACATGTCCAGAGAAACTAAGTGCCACTAAGATCCTCACTGCATATCCTTGCTGTGTTAGGGCAAAGTCAACTTCCTCCTTTGTTAAATGTTCTGTGACTTGTGAGTGCCTCATTTCATCCCTCCATCAAACCTGAGCTAAGAGGGTGTTGACATTAGAGGTGCATCTCTAACAGATCATGACTGACAGTATGATTCCTTACCTACAGTCTACCACCATTCTGTGAAGAAGAAGGAAATATATTACATCACCACTGCACTTGAGTCAAGATTGGTCATTGTAGTGATACAAATCCTGATGTCTTTTAGTCTTTTTCTCTTTCACATGATTACCACCATTATATATGTTGTTCTCTTGTTTCTGCTCATTTCACTTTGCATCAGTTCATACAAATCTTCCTAAGTTTGTCTGAATTCCTCACATCCATTCTTTCTTATTTCAAACTTGTGATTTCATTAATGCAGTTTTGTTTAGTTGATTTAGTTGTGTCTGACTCTTTGTGACCCCATTTGGGGTTTTCTTAGCAGAGATATGGAATGGTTTGCTTCTCCAGTTCATTTTACAGATGAGGAAATGGAGGCGAATAGGGTTAAGTGGCTTGCCCAGAGTCACACAGCTAGTAAGTATGTGTGGCCAGATTTGAACTCAGGTCCTCCTGATTCCAGGCCTAGCACTATATCCACTGTGCCACATAGCTGCCCTCCTCAATGTGAGGGACTGTCTAAAAACCCTCTTCCCATAATCTATGATAGGTGCAGCTCTAACACCAGTGCCCTCTTAGCTCAGATTTGATGTTGAGATGAAGTGAAATACTCATAAGTCACAGAACTTTTAACGAAGGGGGAGTTTTACTTTGCCCTAACAATGCAGATCAATCTGTCAACAATGCTTTCTTACATTTATATGAGCCAAATTACTCCATCATTCCCCTGTAGAAGTACTATTTTCAGTTCTTTACTACCACAAATCACTGTCTAAAGAAGGATGGTAAGACACAAATTAAGATGGACTTGTAGATGTTAAGTACTAAGTGAGTTTCAAGAGGGAAGGTCTGTGCCAACTTGAGATCAGAGAATGCTGCATGGCAGTATAATAGAGTGAAAAGTATGAAGGATTTGGAGTCAGAAGTCCTGGGCTCAAATCCCTACACTGCTACTCTCTCTGTGATGTTGAACAAATAACCTAACCATTCTGGGTCTCAGTTCCTCATCTGTAAAATGAGGGGCTTGGACTATTTAGCCTTTGAGCCTCTTTCCAGTTCCAGTTATGATTCTATAAGGTGGCTTTTGAGAAGGGCTTTAAAGGATGGGTAGGAATTCAACAGGAGGAGAGTTTAAAGAAGAGTGTTCTAGTCATAGGAATCAACTTGGTCAGAAGCATGGAAGGCAGAGAGTCTGAGGTGCTTTTAGGAGAGGGAGATTTGTCCAGTTTGGCTGGAACAATGAGAATCTGGAGGGAAGCAATAAGAGATGATCTTTTAAAGGTAGACAGAGCAGATTCCCTCCCCTCAGTATTAGGAACAATGTGGGACAGATAAAATCTGGTCCACATATCATTGCATTGGTTAGGGAGATCCAGTTCAAGAATGGCTAATCCCATGTGGTTGGATAGTATGTTCCCAGAGCATGTCAGAGTGAAAAATCCTAACACATGGCAAGCATGAAGGCTGGCTTGGATGCCAATGTGGGTAGTGGAGAATTTAAACCATTTGAAGGACTCAATGTCAAGGGAGTTCATATCTCCTGTCGACATCTGAACGCACCTTGGAGGGCCTCCCCAAGGAGGGCCACCCATCTACCCTCATTAGTACCAGCTCCTTTCAATCACATCAGGCTTTAGAGGGAAGCCACCCTCACACCAGACTTCAATAATCCCTGGTCAGATGGGATGGGGCTAGGCCTGAGGGATTTAAACCAGCTGCGGCCCTGTGCAATATGATTGATGTGGGTTGCAGGGGGTGGAGTGGGGGACATGGAGGGAGGGTGGGGGCAATCTTTTCCATGTGAGTGAGCAGCCGAACTCAGTGTTGCTGACAGGGGGCCTTGGTGCTTAACTAGAAAGAGGGAAGGGGGAGGGAATGAGGGAAGGGAAAGGAAGGAGGAGGCTTGTCACTATGACACCTGATAAGAGATGGAGAGAAATAATTGTTCCATTGGGAAGATTTTCCTTATAATTAGAGTCAAAGATGGAAGGAATATTGGAGATCCTTTCATCAATCTCTTCATTTTACAGATGAAAAAACTGAGGCCCAGAATGAAGAGGTGGCTTGCTCCAAGTCACACAAATAATAAGTAAATAGCAAAGCCAAGCTTCAAACCTAGGTCCTCTGATTCCACATGGAGTGTTCTTTCCATGAAACCTTAGCCCCACTGGCATTGGAATAATGCTTTTGTTTAGTGACATGTTGTGATGTGACCAAAAGGCCTGTGGGCTGAGGGTCAGGAGAACTTCTTGTTCTGTCTGCCTCTCTTGCTGTTTTCCTATGAGTTTCTTTTTCTTCATCTATAAATCATGGCATTGGGCTTAAATGATTTAAAAGTTTCTTCCAGCTCTAAAATGCTATGATTTCATGACTCCTTCCAGATTTCATAGATTTCTCCCTGACTCCAATCTGTCCCCACTCTAATTCATCCATCCTATTTTCACAGCTGTGAAACTGATATTCCTAAAGCTCAAGTCTGACATGCCACTCTCCTCCTCAAGAAACTTCAGTGGTTCCCTATGCCTTTAGGGGGCAGCTAGGTGGTACAGTGGATAGAGCCCCAAGCCTGGAGTCAGGAAGACCTAGGTTCAAATCCAGACTCAGACATGTACTAGCTATTTGACCTTGGTCAAGTCATTTACTCCATGTTTGCCTCAGTTTTCTCATCTGTGAAATGAGCTGGAGAAGGAAATGGCAAACCACTCCAGTATCTTTGCCAAGACTTTCATTTTTGTCTTTGTATCACCAACACCTTGCATAACACCAGGCACATGATAGGAATTTAATAAATGCTACTGGAATCAAATTAATTCATTAATTCAACATATATTAATCAAGCACCTGCCCTGTGACAAAAAGTCAGACATGACTGAAATGATAAAATACAATTTCTTCTGTTTTCCATTTAAAACCCTTCACATTCTGGCTCCAATCTATCCTAATCTAGACTTATTTCATATCACTTTCCATCACCCACTGTAAGTTTCTGCCACATTGGCTTTCTTGTTACTCCCCATACATGACTTTCAATCTCCCACCTTTATGTCTTTCCATGCCTAGAAGCCGTGTGCTGCAGCCATTGGGGAAAGCTGATTGTTAAATTTTCCATGGGAGCATCCGTATCTCAGAAATGAGCAAATGTTATAAATCAAGACTTGCTTTATTGTTTTGTTGGTTGTCTGGGCAAGAAAGTGATGGAAAAAATGTTAATAATGTAGATTACATTTGTGTACATTTTTTTTCCTGGAGAGGCAGTTGCTAAACCTTTATTAGCACACCCCTGCCTGGAAGGCTTTCCTGTCTCATCTCTGCATTTTGGAACCTTTAGCTCTCATTCAGAGTCAGCTTAAGTACTATTCCCATGAGAGACCTTTTCTGATTCCCCCCAGTTATTAGATTCCTGCCCTCTGAAATTTGTATTATTTTCTTTATATTTGTACTTCCTTATGTATCTACATATTATTTTGACCCAGTAGAATGAAGACAAAGACTTTCATTTTTGTCTTTGTATGACCTGCACCCTGCATAACACCAGACACAGAGTAGGTCTTTTATAAATGCTGATGGAATTGAATTGTTTCATTCATTCATTCATTCATTCAACATATATTAATTGAATGCCTGCCCTGTGCTTGGCTCTATTCTATGAATTCTTTGACCTGGGATAAATTTAAAATTGGTGGTATTCATGCTTTCCGCGACTGGGCAAAGTTCATGGCTTTGCAGACACAAAGGGCCTTTGGAGTTCTACCAAGAACTCAGATTAAGCATGGAATCCCCCTTAAACTGGATGACCAATGATCTACCTCATATAGACATGAGTGTCTCCCCCTATTTTATATACGAAGATATTCTCACTGACCCACCAAAGTCAAGACAAGTGCTTTCAGTTGGTTTTGCCCAGGACTGGGGCTGAATTTTCACTAGCCCATCCACAATTACTTTTCAGGACCCAGATTTGTTAGATTCATTGAACATTAAATCTGGAAGGATCTTAGAAACATAGCTGGGATTCATATAGCACTCTATGTTCTACAGAGAGCTTTACATACAACATCTCATTTAATTAATCTTCCCCGGAACCTTGAGAAGTAGGTATCACAGATATTAGTATCCCCATTGTATGGATGGGGTGACTGAAACTCAGAAGTTAAGTAGTTTTCCTATAATCACTATCAGGGGGAGAATTCAGAGACATTTCCCCCCAACTTCAGGGCCAAAGTTCTTTCCATTAAATTACATTTCCTTCTATAAAATATCAGAGCTAGAGGGACCAGACAACATAAAACAAAGAATGTCTGAGTTGGAAGGGATCTTGGACATTATCAGATACAATCAATTATTATTAGATAGAATCAATCAATTAGCAAGCATTTATTGAGCACTTATTACGTATTCTGAGCATACAAAAAGAAAAGGTAGAAACAGTCCCTGCCTTCAAGGTGCTCACATTCTCAAGTAGGAGACAATCTGTGCATATGTAGGTGACCACAAAATCCTTACAAAGTAGATACCAAGTAACTTTTGAGGGGAAGGCTGGTTGTTGCAGGGATGGTGTTGGGTTAGTGGATGGGGCTTCTTGAAGAAGATAGTGCTTGAGCTGAGTATTAAGAGAAGTCAGGGGTTCCAAGACCCTGAGGTAAGGAGGACAAGCCTTCCAGGTGTGGGAGACAGCCAGAGCAAAAGGCCCAAAGATAGAAGATGAAGCATTGTGTGTAAGGGCGAGCAAGTAGGACAGTACTGCTGGACTGTAGGGTACATGCAGGAGAGTAATGTGCAAAAATACTGATGAGACAGTAAGGGACCAGGCTATGAAGAACTTTATATGTTAAACAGTGGAGTTTCTGTTGGATCCTAGAGATAACAGGGAACCACTGGGGCTTATTGAAGTGGGGGCAGAGGAAATGAGCACAACATGGTCAACATGAGAAAACTGAGATTCAATGAGGTCAAAGATATGCTCTTGGGATATTTAATTTTTGATTTCAGTGATTTGTGTACATGTCTCTTGTGTTAGACTCTGAGTTGCTTTAGGACAAAAGTCGTGTCCTGTTCATCATTTTATCCCCATGGTGCCTAACAGTGCCCTGCATGCAGTAGATACTCAATACACGTTGGTTGACTGTTGTCAGAAGTGCATACCACAACTGGTTGCCTGCACAATGATCAGAGACACTGTGGGAAAGGGTTTCTCCAACTCTCCGAAGAACCCCTTGCCACCATCCTGAAATTCCATCATTAGAAATTAATTCATCCTTTTGGTTTGAGTTATCATATTCAGAAACTCTCCATTAAAATGTGAGTTTCAGTTTACCCATCCATTGCTACTTGGGTAAATACTCACATTTTTATTTCCTCATCTATAAAATGAGGGTGTTGGGCCAGATGACCTTTACTGTTCCTTGCAGGCTTAAGTTCTCTGATCATGTTTGTTGTTCAGTCATTTTTCAGTCATGCCCGACTCTTTGTGACCTCATTTGCAGTTTTCTTGGCAAAGATACTGAAGTGGTTTGTCATTTCCTGCTCCAGCTCATTTTACAGATGAAGAAACTGAGGCAAGATTTAGACTTGGGAAGATGGATCTTCTTGACTTCAGGCCCTGCACTCCACCCACTGCACCATCTAGTTGCCTAATATCATATGAATAGTGATTAAAACCTTAATCATAATTTATGAGGTTAGCACTGAGCAAAATCCTTAGGTAAATGGATATAAGATGGGAGTTTTGATTGGAAGGATCAGAAAGGTCTAGGGCACAGAGCTTGAGCTGGAGTATTCTGGACAACAGTATAACACTGGACTCAGTCTCACAGTATCTCAGAGTGGGAAGGAAACTTGGAAAACATTTAGTGCAATTCCTGCCTAAGCAGGACTACTACATATCAAGTCACCATCAAATAGCTCCCTGTAGTCTACTTAAAGGCCTCCAGCAACGGGATAGCACTATGGAAAAGGAACATGGAATTAGAAGATCCCTGGGTTCAAATCTCAATTCAGCTACTCACTGGGTGAGACTTTGGGCCTCAGTTTTCTCATGTGGAACGTGAGGAGGTTGTTGCAAAATCTCACTTTGCCCTGGATGTGTGACCCAGAATTAGGGAGTGAGCAACAAAGCTACCAGCTGCCCCTGTCCCTCGGGTGAAGCCTCGGTTTGGGCCCTCTTGTGCCAGTACACAGCCTCTCTCTGGTTGCCGGAGCACTTTGCTCTGACTTGCTGTGACTTTTTCTAGATTTCCCCATCAGGATTTGCTCTGGCTTTCTCTCTCTCTCTCTCTCTCTCTCTCTCTCTCTCTCTCTCTCTCTCTCTCTCTCTCTCTTTCTTTCTTTCTTTTACCAGGGTTAAATGACTTGCCCAGGGTCACACAACTAATATCTGAGACTGGATTTGAATTCAGGTTCTCCTGACTCCAGGGTCGGTGCTCTGTCCACTGCACCACCTAGCTGCCCCAGTCTGGTGCATTTTCTAGACCTGTTGGAAAGAGTTTGTACAGGGAAGTCCACTGCAAAAAAAGTACTGCCTTCAATCACTCTACCATTTTGTCTTTTCCTCCTAAAGCCCCATATAGTTCTAAACCCTACAATTCTACCATAACCCTTTCTATTTCCCCCCTTTTCACTGAGGCAAATTATAGCTCTCATGCTTCCTCTTTGTCATTTAACCCTAAGATCCTTGAGGGTGGGAACTGTCTTTTGCCTCTTTTTTTATCCTGTGCTTAGCACAGTGCTGGGCACATAGTAGGTGCTTAATAAATGTTTATTGAATGAATGAACGAATACCTAGGGTAGGGGAACCCTGAAAGATAATGAGGTCGATAGTAGTAGACTTCAGAGGTTTGCTGAAGACTAGTCCCGGTATCTCTCCCTTGAAGCTGCCTTTTAGGAACTAAAGACACCTGATGTGTGCTAAATCACAGTTCTGGATCGAGAAGGGACATTAGAGGTCATCTTGTGCATCACTCCTCATTTTACAGATGAGAAAACTGAGGCCAAGGAAATGAAATGACCAGTTTCACGTCACACAGGTGCTAAGTAGCAGAATCAGGATCTAAACCCAGCTCCTTAGCCTCCAGAGCCAATGATCTTTCCACTGCCTTCCTCCTTCACTGGCAATGCCTTCCACCCTCCCTCCTGGGCAGTTCATGCCTTCTACTTCCATTCTATTTCATAGCTTAGGAAGCTGAGGCAAAGAGCACAGAATCAGCGGTTCTTAACCTGGAGTAGTCCACAAAATTTAAAAAATATATTCCAATAACTGTATTTCAATAAAATTTGTTCCCTTTGTAATTCCATGTATTTTACACATTCAAAAATGTCCATAGGCTTCACTAGCCTGCTAGCCCATCACACAGAGGCGTGTGCACGTGCATGCATACGCACGTGCAACACACACACACACACACACACACACACACACACACAGAGGTTAAGATCTGTTGTTGCAAATAGACTAACAGAATCATAAAACTTTAGAGGTGGAAAGGAACTTGGGAAGCATCTGGTTCAACTCACTCCATGGGTCGAGTAGATTTCTAGATAGAGTGTGGGATTAGGCCCAAAGGCTCTGGGCCTCATATCTCTGTGCTTAGACCCAGAGCCATTTCCTTTTAAAGAGTTTCAGGAGAACTGGCTGTATTTTTTTTTTCTTTTCAGTAAGAGACTTGAAACCCTGCTGGTATTTCCTTAGCTTCCTGCTCCCTTCAGAGTGCCAGGGAGGTGCTGGTAAGTTTTTTCAGTAGTCCCGTTTTGTTTTGTTTTGAAACCCTCCTTAACAAAATAGGTGTATATTCCCACATTTGTAGAGAGGGAAGCTCTTTTTATAGTATTGCCATTATCAGCTAATCTTCCCCTCTTCCCTTCATTCTATAGCTTTTGTTATTGATAGAAATGCAAAAAGCAGATCCCTGAGTGAGTGAGAGAGAGAGAGCAAGCCAAAGAGGGAACCTTCCATGACTTCACAGGTCTCTGACAAAAGCTCAGATGATGTCACCCTCTAGTCCAGCTCTCTGAGTCACCCTCGATGTGTCTGTGGCCACCCTCACTGCCCCAAAGTGTCTCCGTGACTATGTCATTACGAAGTCAAATTTCCTGTGCTGGGGATTGGGTTACCAATAATTGGTCTCGGCCATGATGATGAAAAACAAACATTTTTTTGGAGCCTGATGGATCAAATGAACCCTCTGGTGGAGTTTCACCAGCCGAGTAGCTAAATGTTTTGCTCAGTTATGTAAGTGATCTCAGGCAATTTAGAGCTTAATGTTTATAAATGACAAATGCTTTGCTTTCTTTTTTGCTTTTTATTTTTAATTTTTTTTTAAACATGAAACCTGGTACATTCAAAGGGATATGGGAGCAATTTTGCATGGTGTGTCTTCTTGTTGAAAGGGAAGGTTAAGAATTGGGATGGTGGTGTAGAGGGGTGAGGAGCTGGGGTAAGCCTGGCCCCAGGATTAAGGCTGGATGAGGTATCTGTGGCTGCTTGGTGGCAAGGGATGGGGCCTTCCCTTTCTGCGTCCATGCAGAAAGCAGAGATGACCAATTCAGGAGGACCGCCCTGTGCCACAGCAAGAAATGAGTCAGATTTCCGGGCCGTAGTGCATTCCCCTAAAAGGATTCTTCTTTTATGTACATATTTTTAAGTTTAGTAGACAGCCACTGACTAGCAGAAGCAGTACTATATTTGGATCCTGGTTTTGAAAAATTATTTATCTATTGGCTGTGGATGAATTGATTATTTTAAGCCTCATTTTTCTCACATGCAAAATGAGGATGAAGAATCATAGATTTAGAGCAGGAAGGGAACTTAGAGGAATTCTAATCTAACCCTAATTATTTTTACAAATGAGTAAACAAAGGTCCAGGTTTGTTTAAATGACTTGCCCAAGGTTATACAAGTAGTAAATAACAGTGTGGGATTTGCACTCAGGTCATCTGGCTCAAAACCCATTGTAATTTCTACTATACCATTCTTCCTAGCCCCCAGCCCCCACCATGGGAGTAAAATAATGCTTGTACTATCTACCTCAAAGTATTTTCGTGAGCATTCAATGAGATAAAGACCATGAAGCATTTTTAAAATGGAAAAGCATTATAGAAATGTCAGCCATCACTATCACCATCATTATTGTTAATAGGAAAGGTCACGGAAATGTCTCTTCTTTAAATAGTTGCCTCCAAATATTTCAAAATTCCTACTTTCACATAGAGGAATGTGGTCTTAAAGGTAAATTGTAATAGCAAGTAGACTTCTGGACTTGGACTCAGCAAGACTTGGCTCTGCCTCTGACACTGGTCATGTTACCATGGCAAGATCAGTGGCCTCTCTGATCCTCGGTTTTTGTATATGCAAAATTCGGATAATGTCAGTGATGATGATGATGATGATGATGAGGTCCTCCTCAAGCTTCCAGCCTTCTTGCCTTTTGGTGTTGGAATGTTTTCTTTTCCTTCTATCTCTACCCATGAAAATCCCATCTATCCTTCAAGACCCAGCTCAAATTCTACCCTCTTCATGAAGTCTTCCTTGATTACACCGTTGGACAATGTAGTGTGAGAGGAATGGCAAGAAGGCCTTTCAGTCTGTAAAATTCATGAAGAGGACTTATATATGATAAGCCTTGAACTGTAGGTCAGAGCTAGGTCATGAAGGACTTTAAATACCAGACAGAAGAGTTAGGGAAAGTGATCTCTCTCTCCCCTCAGGTTTCTCCCAGATCATTGCCTTGTCTTTTCTTCTCACTTATTTCACTCTTACTTACAGCATGTTGTTTGCACATTTTTCCAGTAAGAGAACAAGTCCCCAGTGGTAGGTCTGTACTATTGCCCATTATTGTGTCCTCAGTGCTATGCATCACAGATAGTAAGTGCTTAATGACGGTTATTCAATTGAATTAAATAGTAGGTATTTGGTAAGTAGAACCCCAGAGTCTCAGAGCTGGAAGGGTTCTATAGAATGTCAGAGTTGGAAAGGAAAGCAGAAGCCACCTAGTCAAGCCTATGTCTGAACAAGAATTTTCCTCGACAATTGCTCTAAAGATCCACCGAAGTGATCATTTATCTTCTGCTTCAAAACCCCTAGAAAAGGGGAACCCATGACCTCCCGAGACATTTCATTCTAGTGCTAGACAGGCCTAAGTATTAGGAAGTGTTGCCTAGCACTGGACTTGAACCTGCTTCCTTCTGGCTTCCACTCATTCATTGCTCCTGGTTGTATGTAACCTCTGGGACCAGACAAAACAAGTGTAATCTTTCTTCGACATACCAGCCTTTCACATACTTGAAGACAGCTATTATATTTCTTTCCCTCTCCCCACACACCTCAATTTCTTCTTCAGGCTAAACATATCCTGGTTCCTTCAACAGATCCTCATTCAGACTTCAGGACTCATTCAGCCTGGATAAAGTGCTAAGTGTTAGCAATTATCCTCATTGTAATTATTGTTAACACTAACAATGGGATAGATTGGAGAAGAGTTCTCATAGGAGTTGCCTAAAGGCAACTAGGTGGTACAGTGGATAGTGCACTGGGCCTTGAGTCAGAAAGATCCAAGTAAGTTCAAATCTAACCTCATACTCTTCCTAACTGTAAATGACCCTGGGCAAGTTACTTAACCTCTGTTTGCCTCAGTTTCTTCATCTATAAAATGGGAATGATAACATTTACCTCCCAGGGTTGTTGTAAGGCTCATATGAGATAATATTTTGTTTTGTTTTGGTTTTTGCTTTTTGGTGAGGCAATCAAGGTTAAGTGACTTGCCTAGGGTCACACAACTAGTAAGTGTCAAGTGTCTGAGGTCGAATTTGAACTCAAGTCCTCCTGACTCCAACGCAGGAGCTCTATCCACTGCGCCACCTACCTGCCCCTGAGATAATATTTGTAAAAAAGTGTTTAGCACAATCCCTGGCACAGGACATGTTTTATAAAATGCTTATCCGCTTCTCAGCTGACCACATGCCTCAAAGTTAAATATTTGTTGAATGAATGAACATATGTACGCATGAATGAATTAGGAACAGGGCACTATTCTCTTTTTGGGAAGTCCACAACCCTTCTCTCCTTTGCATTCCTTCAGATGAAATAAATCTAAGCATCTTTGTCCTTTTCTTTTTTATTCAGCACCACCAGTACACGTTTTCTCTAAAAATGCAGTGTTTCCCTTGGGTGATTAATCAATCAATGGTTATTTGGGGAGACATGGCGAGACAGCAGTTCATGTGAAAATTGCTTTGGGGGTTTTTGTTTGCTTCCAAGGTTAATACAAGCCAACAGTGCAATGTAACTGCCTAAAAGGCTAATTCAATCTTCTCTACTCTAATAGAAACATAATGACTGTAACAGGGGAAGTGATGCATAATTGACTGCCAGAATGTATCTGGAGGTCTGTATTTGGTTCTGAGGGCGACATTCTAAGGGGGACATTACCAGGTGAAAGGGCAGCTGGCACAGTGAAAGGACTCAAAGCCATTTGCTATTAAGCCAATCTAGTTAATGCTTATTAGACACCTGCTATCTGTAAGACATGGGGCTTAGTGCTAAGAACACAATTATAGATCAGATACAAGCCCTGCACTCAGGGGACTTATAGTCTAACAGGAGAATCATATTTTGATCCAAGGGAGGGAGGGTAAGATGAGTGAAAACAGAAGGCTAGGTATAGTGCCTACTATGTGCCGGGCATTATGTTAAGCATTTTACAAGTATTACCTCATTTGATTCTCACAACAACCCTGTGAGGCTGTTGCTGTTATTGTTCCCATTTTATGGAGGAAACTGAGACAGACAGAGGTTAAGTAATTTGCCCAGGGCTAGAAATTTAATTCAGGTCTCTATCTACTGTGCTACCAGCTGCCTCCAGCCTCTTATTTACTGGTTTCTGGGAGTAGTGATGGTTAAGCACAGGGTCTCTGGGTTGCTCTTCTTCCCTGTCTGAAGCACTGTAAAGCACTGTTGGCTTGGAGACAGATGCCAATGGAGTTTCAGTTTTAGAGATCGCTGAGGTTGATGAGAGTGTTAAGGAGTCATTCACAGGAATGTAATGTGGGAGAGAGGAAAGGATTTGGGACTGAAGTTAGAAGTCTAAAGCACATCCACATTAAAAAAAAATCAACAACCACTCCAAATCACTAATAATAAAAGAAATGCAAATCAAAATAATCCTAAGATTTCATCTCACACCCTGCAAACTGGCAAAAATGACCAAAAAATGGCAAGTCAACGTAGGATCATAGGAAAGCAGACACACTAAAATGCTGTTAGTAGAGCTGTGACAAAGTACGACCGTTTTGGAAAGTAATTTGGAATTATGCAAATAAAGTAACTACAATGTCCATGATCTGTGAATCAGAGACTCTATTACTGTGCTTATACCCCAAGGAAATCATGGATAATTAAAAAAAAAAGTCCCCATATACTCCAAATTATTTACAGTAGCATTTTTTGTGATCACTAAGAATTGGAAACAAAGTGGATGTTCATGAATTGGGGAATGGCTGAGCAAGATGTAGTGTATGAATGTAATGGAATACTATTGTTCTATAAGAAATGATGAACAGGCTGACTTCAGAAAAACCTGGGAAGACTTATATGGTCTGATGCTGAGTGAAGTGAGCAGAACCCAGAGGACTTTGTATACAATAGCAGCCACGTTGTGCAATGACTAAGAATGGTAAACTGAACCCTTCTCAGCATTACAAGGATCTAAGACATCTCCAGAGGCCTCGGG